AAGACAAAACGCGATTCTCCTATCCTTATTCTCTTAGACTGTACAGCTTTAGTTTACCTACCATTTCATCATAGAGCTTTTGAATATAAAAAAATGTACACTATTTTATGGAAAAAAAATAAAAACATAATGTGAAAAAAGCGGACTGTCCGCTCAAATAGTGGACACCTGGCAACCTTATCTGATATTCAAGTATAACATAAATAAGGAAACTAAAATATAATTTAAATAATTAATCTAAATATAAATAATCTAAATGGGCATCGCAATAATATTTTTTCAAAAGATTGCTTCACAGATAGAAGAGTTATTCCCGTTAATTACAAGTTGTTGATTACTTTCGGACACCAACAGTGCAAATGTTCCCTTTCAGTTTGTATTTTCTCAGAGTGCAAACTTTTGTTCTTGTGCAATGTTGGCCAAATTTTTAAAAATTGTGTTACTAGTTACAATTTTTATTAAACTCTATTTCTTTACAAAATTATTACTTTAAGCTTTTATTACTGAAATAATGCTCTAAAATATTTTAATTCTTTTAAATACAGTCTTTTATTGAAATTTTGTGTGCAGCTGCCATTTTCTCTTGTGTGACAGATTTCTTCAGCTGTGCGCACGTTGTCACCCTTGTGTGCGCAGAGCTTACAGGGAGCATTGGTCATTGCATTTATTAATGGTAGATATTTTAAACTATATTTCATAGCATTTATCAATAGTAGATATTTTAACTATATTTCAATGCATTTCTCAATAGTATATATATACATTATAAGGAATTGCATATATAAAATCTATATTTTAATGCACTCATAAATAACTTTATTCACTTACTCATGGTGTAGGTGAGGGCATTGTTGTAGTTCAAGGGGTCACGGTCAGCGTCGTGACAGCTCAGAACTCCTATAATGTTGGCCGACGGGATGTTCTCCACAATGAGTGCTGTGAAGAAACTCTGATCACACGTCGGGGGATTATCATTGACATCCAAAACATTAACTGAAAGACATAGTAAAATATTGAGCTCATAACAGAAAACAATTTCCTTTTTATTTGATACCAGAAGGGATGGATAAAAAGGAGGCCATTAAAGGGATCTTTTTAACATTTTTTTTTTTTTTTTACATATTTAAAACCTCATGTCCTCCATATCCATACATTCTCATGCACAACCATGTACAAAACTATGCACAACCATGTACAAAACTATGCCCAACCATCAAATACAGTCTCCAAATTAAATCATTAAACAACACAAATTAAATATGTATATTCATAATTGCTGTTTTATAGCTATGAAATTAAATTTACTTGAATTCATAAGAAAATTGGTATAAAGGTACGTTCACACTGCAGATTAGTTACTTGGATTCTCAACTTCCTACTCGCAGCAACCAAAACGGGGCCAACTAGTTTCCTTTTCACAGATTTGTTAAGTTTTGCAGTATATTGTCTGCTTGCAATTTACAAAAACAATTCCATTATATTTTTAATCAATGCGCATGTAACATTGAAACCGGTAGAAAATGGAAGGGTCATTAAAAAAAAGGATGAATTTAATATCAGCTGATGTGTTTAGCATATTTAAATATTAGTTGTATTCATTAGTAACCATATCTTGTGGTTTGAATATTAAAATGAATATTAAAATTTGAGAAAAAAATTGTAAGTTCTATTTTAATGGAGTATGCAAGACGAGGAAATATATTACTAGAACAATGCAAAAGGAATTTTTAAAAAAAGGAATTAAATTAAGATTAAAATTTTTTGTCTTTTAATTTTTCCATGAATAAGTCGTGTTATTTGGTAAAATCATATTTGAAAGAATAAAGACAAATTTATTAATTTAAAGACCTGTATGTAGCCGCAGGTTGCTAGCTGTTGCTCAAATCCATAATTTTAAATTGAGATACATTATAAACAAAAGTTCTGCACCAGATCCACAAGTTGTGCCTGCTCAGTCTGAACACCCATGTGCCATATCAGTGTCAAGGATTCTCAACATGAATTCACCACTGAGATTTGTGGCTGCAACAAATCCACTGTGTGAACATAACTTAAGGCACACTAAATTCAGTTCTATTTACTGGAAAGAGTTAAGGTTCCTGTCCTAGCAGGCATTCCCTTGTCTGTAGCTCGAATTAGTAACGTATAAGCCTGATTGGTCTCTCTGTCAATGTTACTAATGACGCTTACTTGTCCTGTCAAAGGATCTATGCCAAATGGACCTGTAATTTTATAATAAAACCTTGGTAAATTTTGAATTTGTATCATTAAATGGAGAAGTTAAACATAATGACCACACAGATTTACTCGATTAATGAACAAAGCTTATTTCTTATCAATGTATTTCAGTTCATTGAAAGAGTTTCTGCGTTTAACTAAAATAAATATTTAACCAACAGAAATGTCTGTAAACGACAGAAGAAAATAATATATTCTCTTGTAGTACTTAATGACACCAGAATAGATAGGTGCATAGAAAGCTAGGGACAGACTTTTTCAAACAGATTTTGGTTAAAGAATATCAATAAGAAGATGAATTTTAATAAATACAGCCCGTCTACATTCAAACAGCAGATGAGTCCACATGCAAACAGCACAGAGTCCACATGCAAACAGCACAGAGTCCACATGCAAACAGCACATGAGTCCACATGAACACAGCACATGAGTCCACATGCAAACAGCACATGAGTCCACATATAAACAGCACATGCCCACATATAAACAGCACATGCCCACATACAAACAGCACATGAGTCCACATACAAACAGCACATGAGTCCACATACAAACAGCACATGCGTCCACATACAAACAGCACATGCGTCCACATACAAACAGCACATGAGTCCACATACAAACAGCACATGTCCACATACAAACAGCACATGAGTCCACATACAAATATCATCATCAGTGGCACTACAGCCCACGTAGGGCCCTGGCCTGCTCCACCACATCCTTCGATTTGAAGCGATCCATGGCTTTCCGCCTCCATGCGCGAACCCCCAACTGGTGTAAATCCGTCTCCACATCATCAATCCATCTCAGCCTTGGGCGACCGGTGAGTTGTCTGCCCCTAGGCTTCTGCCTGTATATAACTTTTGCTGCTCTGCATTCCGGCATCCTTTCAACATGTCCTGCCCAGCGTATTCTGCCTTGTTTATCATTGTGACTATGGGTGGTTCTTTGTACAAATGGTAAGGTTCTTGGTTTGTAAAGATTCTCCAGATATCATTTTCTATCACTAGGCCATATATTTTTCTGAGGATTTTCCTCTCCCATGTGTTGAGCAGGTTCTCTGCTTTTCTGGTAAGGGTCCAGGTCTCACTAGCGTACGTTGCTACTGGTCTTATGATAGTGGTGTAAATTGTCTTCTTTGTTCCCCTTGAGAGGTTTTTGCTTCCCAGTAGCTTTTGTAGGCTGAAATAGGAACGGCTGCCTGCTATTATCCTTTTTTTCACCTCCAACATTGTGCTCGTTTATAGTTGCCCGTACATATGTGAATGCAGCCACTCTCTAAGATTTGTGGTTGTTTATATTCATGTTATCAGCATGGGAGTTTCTTGACATATATTTTGTCTTTGGTTTATTTATATCAAGACCAGCTTTGACTGAGGCATTTTCAAGTTCCCTGAATGCTTTAATTATGTCATTACGGTTTCTACCCAGTAGCGCTATATCGTCTGCATATGCCAGGTACTGCAATGGTTGGCTATATAAGGTTCCTAATGGTCGTTGTTCTGTAATACCTCTCTGGAAATAGTTTGTTATGGTTCCTGGTGCTAATGTGAATGCTTCTAATAACTTTTTCTAGCGTGATGTTAAACAGGATACATGATAGCGAGTCTCCTTGTCTGAGGCCCCGATTAACTGGAAACTCCCTTGAGTATTCTCCCTTTACCTTGATTTTACTTTTGGAGTTGGCCATTGTCATATGTATGAGCCGAGTAAGCTTGTTAGGGACTCCAAGTTCTTGTAGAGCATTGTATAAGTATTCCTGTTTACACTTATCTTATGCTGTTTTGTAATCCAAATATATTTGGTGTATACAAATAACACATGAGTCTAAATGCAAACAGCACATGAGTTCACCTGCAAACAGCAAATGAGTCCGCATACAAACAACACTTGAGTCTACATACAAACAGCACATGAATCTACATTTTAAAAACTTTCAAACAAAGAGATACATTTTACATTCTGTATAAAGACAAAAGGGATGACATAAGGCATGACCTAGGGATGACAAAAGGGATGATATAAGGGATGATATAAGGGATGACATAAGGGATGACATAAGGGATGACATAAGGGATGACATAAGGGATGACATAAGGGATGACATAAGGGATGATATAAGGGATGACATAAGGGATGATATAAGGGATGACATAAGGGATGACATAAGGGATGACATAAGGGATGACATAAGGGATGACATAAGGGATGACATAAGGGATGACATAAGGGATGATATAAGGGATGACATAAGGGATGACATAAGGGATGACATAAGGGATGACATAAGGGATGACATAAGGGATGACATAAGGGATGACATAAGGGATGACATAAGGGATGATATAAAAGATGACATAAGGGATGATATAAGGGATGACATAAGGGATGATATAAGGGATGACATAAGGGATGATATAAGGGATGACATAAGGGATGACATAAGGGATGATATAAGGGATGACATAAGGGATGATATAAGGGATGACATAAGGGATGATATAAGGGATGACATAAGGGATGACATAAGGGATGACATAAGGGATGACATAAGGGATGACATAAGGGATGACATAAGGGATGATATAAGGGATGACATAAGGGATGACATAAGGGATGACATAAGGGATGACATAAGGGATGACATAAGGGATGACATAAGGGATGACATAAGGGATGTGCTTTTTCAAACAAAGAATGTTGAGTCTTAATGACCTTCATAAAATAAACAAACCAACCATCGGTGATGACACAAAGAGTCACAAACTTTTACCGTTTTCTATGCTGTAAGTGAAACTGCCATCCACTCCCTCATCACCATCAGTGACATTTGCCTGAAGATTGAGGAACATACTGCTGTCAGCATTATTACTGTTGCAGATATAATATTCTCAACCATAAACTTAGATAAAATAATTAATTGGTCTTATCTGCGTGAGACAACCTACAGCACAAGAAAGCCCACTACAATAATGTAACAGCATTTAACTGAGGCTTCAGCATTTTATGAAGCCTCGAGCCCAGCAAGAGGAAAACAGCTTTACACATAGTTAAAAAAATACATAATGTTCAGTTTTGTTTTTTAAATTTCATTGTTTATTCCTTAAGACTTCCATAAGAATTAAATAACACTTAACATTAGCAAAATCATGAAAATTCAATATTTATAATTATGTTATTTTAAAAATTATTTTTAAAAATTTCATATTTTAAATAATCTGCCACAACATAAATAGGACCCCAATGTGTTGCAGAGGAACAAAAGTTTATCCATGTACTTAAGCATGCCAACGGCGCTCTGGTTTTCTTAAATCTATTTAAACAAAAATGTTTTTAAATGTCTCTTAAATGATTTTTTTATCATTTTCAATTCCCCTCACAAATGTTTTGAAAAAAATGCTATGAAGACTACATTTCACTTACCTGCAACATAAAGGTGAAGTTGACCAAAGTATTCTCTGTTATGTTAATATTCAGTGTTTTTGGGTTGAAAGTGGGGGTGAATTCATTGACAGGAAGCACTTGGACATTGTAGCTAGCATTCGCAGTGTATTTGGAATCTGTTGCCTGGACAACCAAAGCATAGCTTGTGACTGACTCATAATCTAGCACAGCAGAAACTTCCAGAACTCCACTTGTGATGTTTATACTGTTTGAACAGTTTGTTTTTACAAAAGACATAAAAAGATTAATCTTACAAGTGTTCCTTTATGGGCTGAAAATGCTACAATTGTTAAGTGGAAATGAGATTGTTATAAATAAAGGAGGTAGGATTCATCTCTAAAGACAGGATTTAAGGTGCTTTAAAATAAAGTCACCAATTAGCAAGATTCTCACAGCCAGGGGAGAAACAATTAAATGTAAAGAGTTTTGGAAAAAAATTAAATATGCTTTAATATTAAAATAATAAAGCTAAGAGTTAAAAATTGACAAACACATGAACATTATTCAACATTGAATTGTTGATTATGAAAAACAGCTTAAGAAAATGTATGTCCCCAAAGGAGAGTAAACTTAATTTTTCTTGTGATGCTAAACATTTTCTATATGTAGACTATGCATGTACATTACAAAGTAAAAATAAAGGTAGCTGATGTAAAATTGAGATAGACTGCAGCTTTAATTGAGTCTATTACAAACTTAAACATTGGTAGATTCAGAGATGAAAATCTTCTTCTATATATTAAGGGCCCACAATCAATGTAGTGATCATTCTGGCTCCTATGTACGTAGAGGGATTTGCAATGTTTCCATCCCTGGTATTGAAGAGGATAAATCTGGTCATATATCTGACCGTGTTTAACTCCTAGGATTGACCAAAAACAAATAAAAAGCATTTTCTTCCTTAGATTAAATTTGTTTAAAGTTACTCAGTAAATTAGATTAGGCAATGTTTTCACTAAGTTTACCGCCAGGTTCCTGCTGTGTTGCCACTGATAATGCTGTAAAAGATGGTCTTAAACTGTGGTGAGCTGTCCCCATCATAAGCTGTCACAGGTGGGCTTAGTTTGGTGCCCAATCCAGCAGACTCTGCTACAGATGCTGTGTACACAGCTGGTTGAAGCACTGGCCTGAAAGAGGAGAGCAAGGCTTAGAAATGATTCATCAATTTTCCATTCATCAAAATAAGAGTGAATCTCTGGTTGCATTCAGTCAACGCAAGATCAGATTTCTAGTAATATAAAAGACCTACATCATGTCGTTGACATCAATGATAGTGACACTGATGTTCTGACAGGCTGTGAAAGCTGTGGGGTTAGGTGTGTCTTCAGCACAAACTTTTAGAGCATACAGCGGCCCATAAACCTCGTAGTCCGGAGCAAGAGTTTTCAGGAATATTTCACCAGTCACTAATCAAGAAGAGGATCAAATAACAAAAATCATTGCTCAGTAAATTTTCATGACAGATAAGAAAAGCTATCTTGCTATTTAAATGTTACCAAGACTCAAAACAAGCTTATGAGAATTTAACTATTAGCATTCCTTTTAAAAAAAATTAAAAATTGACGACAGTGAACTTTCAAAAACAAAATGTTGCCTCTTAAAAGGTTAATTTGTAGAAGACGATAATTTATCTCCAATCCTTAATTTCAATTGGACTGTTATAATCAGGTTAAGTTCTATCCTTAACAACGAATCACTCAGCAGGACTCAAGCCTCAAAGATGAGGAGAAAATAGAATGTCTGTGTGTTAAGATTGTGAGAAACCAGATTGAGGATAAATCTGAGGCACAAATAGAATGAAGTACATGCTCTTCAAAACTTTCAAAAATTATTGAACTTAATTTGAATAGCATCATAATGATTTCATATAGATTATTTTATTAATTAAAATTTATTTATATTGGGGGTGTGGTGGGGGTAGAGTTTGCAAGTACTTAACTTAAACTTGCTAGGAGATAAAAATGTTGGAAATCTGCCCTTATAACCATATTCTTTACAAGACACTCACATTTAGATATTGTAAAATGAGTTGATGGAGACAAGGAGTAGCTGACGTAATCATCTGGGCTGTCATTGCCTGTGGCATTAGCCTTGTACCAGACCTGGTTACTGGGAGCCACATCCTCTCTGATGGTGAAGTTGAATGGTCCAGTGAAGGAGGGAGGTTGGTCATTAAGGTCAGTCACTCTTAGGTTGATGGTAACTGTTGTGTTTTGAACTTTATTTGCTGGGGCCAAGGCATCAGTGACCTAAGGAAGAAAGTTTGCAATGTTAAATATTTTTTTTAAATCTCATAACATTTGTTGGATATAAACTTAAAACTAGGCTTTGTGCATTAAATTTTCTATACATAAGGTTAAAATTTATACAATTTGAAAGTCCATTATCAACTTTATACATTTAACTAAACAGCAGCTAGATGCATGAGTTAAGACCGAGACTACACAACTCAAAATGTAAGGCAGGCTGTAATACTTTATGAAAAACTTGTGCAGGCCAATTTTAGTGTTTTATTCAAATCTTTAATATACAACAAAAATGTGAATATAATTAAAATGAACCAAATGCCAACATGTTAATATAAATTGAATAAGAATATTATAAGACATCTATTTTTTTAAAACATTGATTATGTTATAAGAATATGATTTCAAGAGCATTATAAAATTCACTCACAAAAATCTGTATCTCGTAAGCATTTCCACTTTCGTAATCTAATGCAGGTGAAACACTGACTGTCCCAGTATTATTAGATACTAAAACTGTTAAACCAGATGGTTTTACACTAAAGATAAAAAGATGAAACTAAAGATTAATGTTCTTAAAAAAATAATAATTCTAAAACAGTATGAAACCCAAGCTTTATATTTTTCACATTATTAGTTGCACTTTGAAAAAGAAATGGATTTGTTCCTCTTTTTCTCATATTTATTTTATCAGAGGATAATTTATAAAGGTAATTCATTGTGTTTTTACATGAAAAAAACATTTTATTCTTTTAGGTATCACACCACTTCCTTTTGGCAAAGTTTTGTTGCTTTTACATTCATTAAGCAAAATCTAATATACTTCAAACCTGGCAACAGAATATGACAGCACAGTGTTTTTGTCTCTGTCTGTACAAGTCAAAGTTGTGATGTTGGTCATCCCTTCGCGTCTGTCAATGTTGATGATGCTGATACACATGGGAGGATTGTCATTGACATCATTTACTTTGATCATAACATCTGCTGTGCCAGTTCGAAAAGGGGTACCCTTGTCTGTTGGTATGGTAAAGGAGAGGCTTTAACTTGATTAAATTAGAAAAATATGAACCTGCAGGTCCTACTTGTCTCCATGAAATAATATATGAAATAAATTGAAGCTTAGCTACTAAATGTAGTTAGATTATGAACATCATTAAATAGTAGCAAAATTAAAGTGGTTGAATGAGTATGACTAAAAGATTTAAACAAATGATTTATGATAATGATATAAATAGAAAGGTATTGGCAATAAATAAAATGTCTATGAAGTGGCTGTTCTTTATTTTTAAACTAAACATATCTACAATATCACTATTGTGCACCTGTGGCTTTAATTTGAAACTGGTAGATTGTGTCATTTCTCTCATAGTCTAAGTTGTCGTTGAGCACAATCTTGCCTTGTTTACCATCTTGAATCAGAGAAAACTTTGTTTGAGGGAGGACAAATGCTAAATTAAACTCTCCATCCAGCCCGGTATCATTATCATTTGCTGACATCTGGAACAAAAAGTTATGTAAAATATCTGAAAACAGCAAGTTTTTAAAATAAATTTTAAGTAATTTTCCAACTCACTGGAGAGCTACTAAAAGTTTAATTGCACAAGAAAAAAATCACAGACTAAAAATAGGCCAACTATATCATCACTGCTGTAATATTTTATTGTCATGATTGTTTTCAATACAAAAGCAAAGAAAACTAATTTAATAGATGCATGTTGCAAGACTTGATATCATTTACACAGATTTTTATCTATCTGTATGTTCAAATAAGTTTCCTGCTCAGTCAAACTTCTTTACTATTAAATAATTTTAAATGAAATTGAAATAAGACTGAAACTTAAATATCAATCAATATGTTAATTTTTTATATAACAGAAATGAAATTAATCAACTTGCCACTAAAATGACATCTCCAAAGGAGAATTGAGTCTCATCGACTGTTACATTGTATGAAGATGTGTTGAAAACAGGAGCAAACTCATTGACAGTAATCACTTTTATGATGATCAGCGAGGATGAATTGAGTGCACCCACGCCACCTCCACTATCTGAGACAAATGATTATCGCAAGATTCATTAAATACACTCTTAAGGCACTATCACATTTAAAATTTGAATTATTATTAATTACCATCAATTCAATTTCTCAAGGTATTGTACTATTTTTATAATGTTAGCTAAATCCTTTAATAAATGTGCTAGTATTTTCTTTTAAAATTTGAGAGAAAAAATTTGTGTTAAAAAAACTATCAACTATATTTATAAATACTTATGTGACAATTTATTTGTTTATAGCTTAACAAACTGACTTTAAAACACAGAACAGAATTGATTGTTAAAGCAATTTTTTTTTGTATCAAACTGGATAAATAAGAGTTAGTAATATTGCTTATATATTAAGCCAAAAGTGGAAAAGCCCAACATGGCAGAGATTTTTACCATAAGGACATTTTTTATAACATTTTAGGAAACCTTGTGACAAGTTATACAGGCTGTCACACACGTACATAGTTAGGAATAAAAATACAACAGAAAATACAATTTATCTATGAAAATGTTTGACATCAGAGAATATTAACACAAATATTTCTGGAACTTTGGACAACACAAATGCTTAAATCTATAGTTAAAATAATTCCGCTGACTAAATCTATAATTCAGCTAACTAAGTCTAAATGATCTGTTAAGCATACACAAGTTCACATAATATAAAGAATTTATAAATTTACTTCTTTACCTGTTGCTATGACAGTTAAAGTATATGAGATTATGCCCCCTACATCTGCATCAAGCACTTTTGTATTTTTTATCACACCAGTGGTGCCATTGATGGAGAATTCCGACATCCAACTGCCAGCTGTTAAACACAAAATTTGATGAGACAGCTATTTTATTTTTAACATGATGACTAATTGATTTCTTAGGAATCATTGATATTCAAAAATTGTTTTTTTATGTAGCAGTTAAATTGAAACAAGCTTAGTTTTTTTAAACATTTAACTTTAAATATCTAAAAATAATTTGTTGTAACATAGCCAAAACATAGCCAGATTTTGTTCTTGCTTTTGTGTTTTTGTTTTTCATTTTGTGATCATTTTGCCCAATATTCAAAAGATAACTAACAAGAATAAAAAAAAAAAGATGAACAATATTAAGAATTTAGGCAACCCATGTAAAATATTTTTTAAAATTGCTTAGTGGTTGAACCCACTAGTTTGGAACCAATTGTTTTAATTGTCTTCTTTATCATATTTATGTTATTAAAGCTAAACTTTTTTTTTATCAATCATTTGTAAAAAAAAATATTTTTCCTATGTAATGTGCTTTCTGTGTGTTTTCATTTGAAGCTTGAAAACTACCATGTTATTTGCATTGTGTGTTCACTGTCAATGTTAAATGAATTTAAACAAAGTATCCTGTGAGTAACAAAAATTTTCATGCAAAGGACTAAAAAAAAAAAAATTAGTCTATAGCATATATACAAAAAAAAAATTAAATTTAGACTTTACCAAGTGTATATGTGACCAACCCATAGCCTTTGGTGTTGGGATCATCTCTATCCTTAGCTGTGACAGTGAGCAGGACAGTGTTGATGGGATCTGTCTCATTTACAGTTGCACTAAATAATGAAACCATCATAGACTTTTTGGAAAATTTATCAAGACATACACAGCATTATAAGCTCACTGAGCAAAGATTTCTTTGAGCAGCAACCAGTGTGTTTTTTTGTACACATTTCATTGCTAAATGTTTGTTTAAAGCTTGAATGAGCTTTCAGATTTTGTCTTTAAAAAAAAAAAAAAGAATTCCTTACCTAAACTGAGCAGATGTAAACATTGGTGTGTTGTCATTCACATCAGTGATGGTGATAAGAATAGTTGCATTACCTGTTGGGGGAAAAAGGAATGAGGTGGCATTATTTTAAAAGCAAAATTTTATTTCTTTCTTAAAAGGTACTAGACCCAATTACTAAAAAATAAAACTCTTATAATAAAAAATGTGACCATCAATCTACTCACTAGTTTTCTGATTTGATGATCCTGGCATGTCATCTACAGCAGAGACAGTCAGAGTGTAATTAGAAACAGTCTCTCTGTCAAGAGGTTTGGTGGTTTTTATTTCTCCTGAGAATTCATCAACATCAAAAGTCACGTCTGGATCACCAGCCACAATGTAATAGCGCACAGTCCCTTGGAGAAATCCCTTGTCTTCATCGGTTGCACTAAGCTTTACCACCATGAAGCCTTTGGAGATGGCACACATAAGGTTATCAGTTCATGAAATTTTGAAAATTAATCACTAAGTGTGGCTGTGAAAAATATTCATTCACATAAACTGTGAAATATTAGAACTGATTCATTAAAATTTCAACATTTTACTGATTCATTAAAATTTCAACATTTTAAAATGTTTGTACTATTTTTATTCTTTATACTTCTAGCCATTAGAATGCATAATCTCCCTTCTGGGCATTCTACAATATTCTCAGTTGGAATTATTTTCAGGACAGTCATAAAATACAAAAACCGGTAACAAGAATGTAAAACAGCTTACCAATAGGCATGTCCTCTGGAACTGTTATATTTCCATACACGTTTGAAGGTGTGAATTTGGGTGAAAATTCATTGATGGGGTTTACATTTACCCTTACATGAATGAGCACACCTATATCAGGCGGCCCACCGTCATAGGCTTTGATGTAAATGTCATGGTATGTCATGTTCTCATAATCTAAAGGACCTTTCAGGGAGACCTTTCCTGGAATATAGGAACATTTTTAATTCCGTCTCTTTACACACCAACGTGATATAGACAAAATTCATGAATTCTTCACAGTTCTAAGTACCAAAATAATACAATCTAATTGTGTTAAGATAATCTAGATGAAAATT